GGAGAGATGAGCTGAACACATAAACAGTAGCAAGGGCTTAAAGAACTTTAAATACTATGCTTACATGTTCACCCTAAATTTTAAAGAAAATAGAGAGTCAATAAAATACACTTCAGAGAGGAGAGTGACTAGATTGAAATCACTGTACCTTCCTAGCACTTAGAAACTGTAGATTCCAAGTGGATAAGATTGTAAGTGAGGAGCCCACATCTGAAGTAAGAAGTGGAAAGCCAGGGGTGGAGAGGAAGAGTTAAGCTAGACCTGATCCCTTGAGCAATGAGGTATGGGACGTGAGGAGAAAGTCTGGGATATTTCTCAAGGACAAGATGAGGTCATTAGCCTGAGTACTATATGCCATTCACAAAGGAATGGACTATGGAAGAATTATTGATTGTCTGCCAATGTCAGGGAGTGGGCATAAAGCAAATGTAATAGGCTTTGTCTTAAGTTTTAACATGGGAAAAGCAAGAATAATATCCCAATATTTGGAGAAATACCATTTAAATTGACATTGTTGCATTTTTCAATTTTTTATGACAGCAAAGCTGTACTAAACAAAGGAGAAAGTCTATGTTAATGCCAAATATTTATTTCTTCAAAGATGAGATGAAACAATTAGCTAAAGGAGAGTTGGTTTTGTTTCCCAGTACAGATGTGTTCTGGCTTTTGTTATCATCACTTTTTAAATAGCTGAAGGCAATTCTGAGCTGTGATTTATTCATAATAGAATCAGTCTGAGAAAAATGCCAAGTTGCAAACACTGGCAAACCATAGCACTTCTCATTAATATGCAAGAGAAGGAAATGGCCAAATGATAAATTTAACATAGCACCAACTAATAATATGCCATGGAGGAATAACTGGAGAATTCCATTAGTATTTAAAAAGAATGTCAGGAAACTATGATTGTGGCACATAAGGACAAATTTGAAGGATGACAAATATAAAATGCAAGCCTCCAGTTGATTTTAAAGGGACCAGGGAAAGAATCCTTTGCAACCCACAATTCCTACTTGGTACTTACCTGTTCCTTTCATAGGACTGTGTTTCTGATTACTTAGCATGAGCAAGCCCCAAGCTTGATATCCAGCATTGAAGGACAGCCAGCCAACCAACCAAACAACCAAACAACCAAACAAACAATCCTTTCTTATTGTGCAATTTCTGTTTTTGCTTCCAAGATGGAGGAGAACTTTTCCTGTCTTTTTCCAATATGGCAGCCATTTTGAGGCCCGTAGGAACATATATTTAGGACAAAGAACATAACTTGTTCCTGTTCCATTCTAGCCACCCAGTATGTCCTCAGAAGCTGAGGGGATGCTCAGAATTACAGAAGAGGGCTGAGAAGAGCTATGGAAAGATGAGAAGTATCTGATGTAACCAGAATGAAAGCGGATAGCTTGTCTGTCCTAAAATAACATCACCATAATGATGGTGATGTAGTAGCCAAATCCAGAGAGGCAGCAGGTCCAGTTACAGCAGTGAAATCTGAGGAATGGGGTGTGTCAGACAAACATGGTATCCTATCAATAACCCAGTACCATCAGTTCTTTACAGTGTTTTGTCTAATACAGTGGCTCTCAACCTTCCTAATGCTACAGCCCTTTAATACAGTTCTTGTATATAATTGTGGTGATGCCCAACTATAAAATAAATTTTGTTGCTACTTTATAACTGTACTTTTGCTGCTGTCATGAATCATCATGTAAATATCTGACATGTAGGATGTCTGATATGTGACCCCTGTGAAAGGGGTTGTTTAGCTCCCAAAGAGGTTTTGACCCACAGGCTGAGAGCCAACCATTGATTTAAAACTTATATAACTAGAAGAGACAGGATCTAAGGATTTTTGATGAATCTCAGAGCCCTTATATCTGAACCTAATTTAAACAGGGCTTAAACAGCTCTAATTTTTTTGAGCTCAAGGTAATTTTAAATGAATTTAATTTAAGGCTTCTCCCCTAGGAAGGCAAATTTATGTTGAATGATAAGAAGTAATGAGTGCTTTTAAAATGCAAATTAGTCTAATATTTTTAAAAATTAAAAAAAGTGAAATGATAGGAATGTATTGTGAAGTAACAGTTGTTCAAGCTTTAATAGTCACACACATTTCTGGGCTATTCTGGGTATCTTAGTGACATTTCATTTAAAGATACCATAAGGAAGGGGGAAAAAGTCTTTGCTATTACTGAGCACACTGAATTATAGATTTGTAAGGGAAAGGGCACAGTTAGTTAAACATCTAACATTCTGGGGCAATTGGGATCTCTCTCAAGAGGCATCCTCTTGGCGGCTCTCAGAAAGGGTTCTTGTTAGAATCCTGTTGTCCCTCTGCTTCTTTATCAAGTTCCTCTGTTCCAGTTCTTCTGAGAGATGTTTCAGTGTCTTTCCAAATGTTGACTTGGCATCATATTTGAATTACTATTTTTGCTTAAATTTCTTAGATTTCTTTTAAAATTTTTTTCTTTTTTTTCTTTTTTAATTTATAAGATCTCTGGGTTTTTCAGATCTGTGGGAAAAAATCTATTACAGTTCCAAATGTTTTTCCTTCATTCTCCCAAATTACTTATTGCTATGTTCAAGACAAAAAATGAAGTCAGAAAACCTCTTATAAATTGTCCTCTTATAAATGTTACATGCACATCAAATACCTGAGGAGAGCTTTGAGTAGCAGTGAAGTTGAAGTTCCCACTAAATAATCAGCATGGGAAAATGATGGCATAAGATGGTTTGACTGGTGAGAAATGCTCTCATCAAGTATGTGAAATAAAAAAATGAACTATAATCCTCTTTTCCAGGGTTAATTATCAGATTGTTCATTGTCTTTGATCCAAAATACAGCCAGACAACCAGACCTGTGGCTTTTCCTTTCATTTCTAATGATGGAATGGGAGACTTTTTACTGACAAAATGGATCCAAAACTAGTCGTTTTAACTTATTGGTATATTCTCTGTTAAAACTCATAACTTTTTCACGATCCTTTCCATTCCTCTCTCGCAAAAAAAAAAAATTATAAAACGACCTTCATGAAAAAATTTAATTTGCTTTTAAATTTTCTGAGTTCTTCCAGCTTGTAAGGTCCGAGGAGGACTGAACTATGATGTCATTAGTCCTGATTAGATCAGACAGTACAGGAAATAGGTGGTATGGTGCACAGCACAGTGGCCTCAGAGACCCCTACCAACTCCTCTATCCTTAGAATATGTGTCTGTCATTTCACATGGCAAAAGAGACTTGGTAGATGACGTACAGATGAAGCTTTACCCAGGTGGAGGACCTTGTAGTGAGAAGATGACTCTGTATTATTCAAATGGATGCTATCTAATCACAAGCCTAGCCACAGACAGACAGACAGACAGACAGACAGACAGACAGAAATACAAAGAGATCTTAGCCAAGGAATGATCTTTCCATGTAGGAAAATAGAGAAATATCCTAGGGTCCTCAGAAGAAGCATCCTGGACAGCAGACACTTTTTTGTTCATGAGACTTCTAGCCTATGTAACTGTACATTAGCACACTTTTATTATGTAAGTCACCAAAGCTGTGGTCAGTTTTTATGGTAGCAAGAAGCAGAGATGTCCTACAATGTGCAAAGCAGCTGAGCTTCTAGTCACTGTGCAAAATGGAGAAGACAGAAGGTAGGTGGTTGGGTCTTCAGTGCTGGACATGAACAACAGGATGTAGAAGAAGCACAAAGAGTGGTTTTCAGATTGTCTTTGAAGTCTTAGGACTTACTGGGGACGGAGGAAAAGACTGCTTGGACAAAGGAAGAAACAGCCAAATCAACACTGCAACATTTCAGTTCTCTGTGGGATCAAAGCCATGGGAAGAGAATACAAATACGTTTGTTCCTGTCAAAACTGCAGCAGAGACATCCTGAAATCCTTTGACTTTTTCTACAACATATGATGACTAATACACACTTCTTAATGCATTGCTAGAAAATAAGAAAATGCTCAAAACTCTACGTCCACCACAGTAAAAGAAAAAAAATGTGATAAAATCATTACCATCAAGTCAAGCTCACACCTTTAGTCCAACTAAAGAAAATGAAGGACGAAAATTGAAATCACCCAAGAGTTATATAGGGTGACAGCACCAGGCACGTGGTACCTGCGGCACATGAAGACTTCTCGGGAAGTCACTCCTCACAGGAAAAGTGGCTGAGGAGCTGACTAACACAAATGAAGATAGGCAAACTTCACTGTGCTAAAAATTAAAACAGAAATGAAAACAAAAAGAAGAAAGAGGGAAAGAAAGAGGAGGGAAGAAAGAAAGAAAGAAAGAAAGAAAGAAAGAAAGAAAGAAAGAAAGAAAGAAAGAAAGGAAGGAAGGAAGGAAGGAAGGAAGGAAGGAAGGAAGGAAGGAAGGAAGGAGGAAGGAGGCAGGGAGACAAGAGGGCAGTCATAAACATACTGGCAATATGAACATCAAGCAAAATAGAACCCAAAATACATAAAGACTCCAATAACTCAATAAAGAAAATAGTACAATAATAAAAAACAAATCTGTGGTTATAGTTCACTGAAGCAGGGACACAGATGTGAATGAAGCTTGCTAAGGTGTCCCTGAGAAGGGCCATTCAAACATGGTACTGGGTAATAGTCACCCAAGGAAAGGAAGACATCTGATAATGGTAAGTCTCACAGGACTGTAGGTGTGACATGCATCAAACAACAGTAGCACCAGTATACAACTGGTGGGAACTTAACAATAAACTCGTTCACTTTGGAGAGAAACTTGACATGATGTATACTGGTTTTGAATATATATGCATCCAAGCAATTTCAGTAAGAACATAAACACTCAAGAAACTGGAATGTGTATCTCCAGAGACACAAATGTGAAAACCCCGCAGTCATGTTGGTGGAGGAGTGAGAAAACAAAATAGAAACAGCTCAGTTGATCATAACCAAAGTAATGATTAAATATATTGTTACATATCATCACAAATATTACATGATTATGACATATATATATGAATAATAGTGCCATCTAGAAAATCATAGAGAAGTACATATTATAGCATAATTCTTCTAGGATTCCAACATCTAAGTAATAAATTACTTGTGCATATATTTATATATTGTAAATCATGGGCTAATTATGAAGCCAAATGAAAACATTAAGGGATAGAAGACTAGAATACAAACAGTAACATTCTTACAAATCTATAAGTTATGCAAGACCAACTATATCTTATTTAGGTATCCATAGAGATATGTATGGTCTTACATGTAAAATTACATAGAAAAGCCAATAGCAACACAAAATCTGGAGTAGGATTTCTCTGTCATAGAAATATGATGGGGGAAGGGCATACCGTAACTTCCATAGAGTCAGCACTTTGGTCCAGTCCAGGTTATGTGTTTCCTGTTTGTCTCATCCTGTTTTAAAACTGACAAGTTGCATGTGTTTTTTAATAAAAATGTTACATAGTAAAATTTTAATTATGCTGTGGAACCCCCTGCATTGTTATTTTTTCTGGGATGGCTATTCTTCCATTCCCTTAGACTGGAGATTTTTTGGAGTCCAACTTGAATGAGAGCAGCAGGCTGAGAAGGAGAAAGTATTTTGTAGATGATATGTTAAAATACTATCTCAGCTCAGAACGCTCTGTCTTCCTACACTTGGTATAACAAAATTATTATAAAATGATGGTCTGAATCCTCACTCCTTCACCATAAAATCCAATCTTATTCACCTACTTTCAAAGAAAAAGTGTAAGACTTGCTTCATTTTAATATATAGCTTAAGTGTACAGTGAAGGCTTTGACACCAACGAGGAATTGGAAGAGTCCGTTTATCATACAGTTAGTGAGTTTACTTCAGGTGTATTTCTCTCTCCTATCACTTTGGGCTAAACTTCCCCCTTAACATCCTTCACCACTATCCCAGCACTCACACGTAGATATTCTTCCAATGTTCAAACCAAAGTCCTTCCCCTCACAAACCATTCTTCACTGATGGGCTGTGAAGGTGCTGTAACAGTGTGGGCACAGGGAGTGTGGGGTGTGACCTGTCATCGTATGTATACCAGAATGATGAGGAATCAGGGCCACACCACAGGTTGTGAAGCAGATAAAGCCTGTGTTACACAGCTGAGTCCAGATCCCTAGTCCTTCCACCCTTCAGCTGTGTGGGCAGCTAATAAGTCTGTATCCCTAGGTGGTCGTTGTGAGGGCTCTATGACATTTATGAACCATCACTACTTAGTGTATGCCCAGATGAGGTGCACTGTTTGTATCAGTCTCTTTCTAAACCTCTGATTGAAGCCCGTTAGTGTGCTTGTTCATTGTATAACGCAGGTTTCTCGACATTCCTTTTCACTGTGGAATCTGTTTCCTGAGCCATTGCAGCCACTGAACCAAAAGCGAGCACAAGAGTTGACCTGTTTGTCGTAATACCAGCGAACCACATAGTCACCACAGTTTCCGGGCTTCAGGGCTTCCTCGCATCTTGGATCTAGGGAGAAAACACAGGTGGGGGTTACTAGAAGTTTTTCTCTCACTGAAGACAACAGGAGAGAAAACAAAAACTTTATGAAGTAATATAAAGTTTTATTTTTTTATGCATTAGAACAGAGTAATCAAAAGTCTCTCATCTTTATGAAACCCCACTAAATTGCACATTTCCAAGAAGGCATAACTAAGAATCTGTTAACTAATAACTCTGGGGGATTAGCTGATAGGAGAAGATGGAATTTTTTTTAAAATAGTCTCACTAGGTAGGGAGGCTAGCCTTAAATTTGTGATGATCCACTCTTCACCTCCTGAAGACTGATATTACAAAGATGTAGTACTGTGCCTAGCACAGGACTTTAATCATTTAGACACACCAAAGAGCAGTCTTGATATCATGGCTCTCTTTTAAAAGGACAACTCCTGCAGTACCCAAGACAGTAGGGCAAGCCATTTTAATGTCAATTACAAAGAACTTCAGGAGTGCACTCCCTATAGGAAAGCCAAAACAGTAGGGTTATATTGTGCTAATTTAATCAGAGCCTCCAATTTATTAGATGCTTTCTGTTGACCAATACTTCAGAGAGCATTGATTCTTATTTTCTACTTGAAGAAATTATCCCAAGGTAAAAGAAGTCTGGCAAACAGAATCCAGTTGCCCAAGACCTGTTCTCTCAGAGATGATTCATGTATCGTAAGCTTTAGTCATCTCTGTAGCAGAGCTAGTCCTCACTCCAACTCCCTCAATCGGTTCCTCGGGTTTGGAGAGTGTCTAAATATGTTTTTAAAATTGATTTCTAAATCTATTTCTACCATGAAAACTCCTTACACCTAATGGAAAGGAACAGATTTCCACAACTGCTACCACTAGAATAAACAGCATATATAGTGCAACCCGTTTTCAAGTCCATCTAAGCTCCTATTGGACTTGGATATTGTCACTTTTGTGTATGTTGCAAAATACGCACAGGGATGAATTCTCTCTGTACATACATTAACTTATAGAAACCGTGCTGGATCAGAATCTGAGTTATACAATCAAGGGACAAAACCTCAAATACCTACATTTATGAAGAACACAGAGCAGCTGGGGCTGAGGCTGGGGCAAGCAGGGAAAACAATCACCTCCAAAACATTCAGGTTAAAACCTGTACTGTTAATTTTTCTGAAGCTGCATTTACTTTCAGGACAGCTGCTTCTCAAGTTCCATGTGACCCAAGCAGAACTAGCTCTTGTCTTCCCTATTAAGCTACACATTTCCTCTTGTGGAGACTCTAGAGACCACTTTTCTACAGCAGGTGAGTAAAAGATGTCTCTTACCTTTGTACAGAAATTTTTCTGACTGTAAAATCAAATTGGGATTTGGAGTTCTTGTTTCCACTCTGTTGGGGCTGAGCAATGGCTCAGGTGTATTGGTGGCCTCAGGTGGGGTTGGGACAGCCAAGGTATCAGCCTCACTCAACACCAAAGGCTCAGTCTCTTCATTTTGGCCTCTAGAGACATTAAACTACACACACAGACTCACACACACACACACACACACAAACATCATACAACGCATCACATATACATGCCACATTCATTTAACACACACAACAAACATACCATGCAAACACACATACATACCACATACATACAAACATTACATATACATACAACATTCATATAAAACACACACAAAAAGAAAGAAAAAAATACCATTACAATTTTTTTTTGTTTTTAATAATGTCAACTGATTTCTTAGAAAATATAGAAGAGGTTTTTCTTTGCTGTGTCTCCCCAGCTGTCCAATGCTGACTGTTTCAAGTAAAGCTTACAAAATCACTTCCCAGCCCTGACTAGATAAAAAGTGACTTTCCTGCCACTTTGTGTGGGTTCTAGTATACACACTCATTGCCTACATCTGGGCACAGATGTGATTCTGCTGAGAACTTCCAGGGAGAATTGCATACAGGGCATGAAATATGTAAAGCTGGAAAGGGATGGTGTTCATTCTTCTTTTAGTTATGGCTATGAATAAGAAAAATCAACGCTAATTTAGCATTTTACAATCTTTTTCATTTTGTTTCCTAACACTAGAGCTCTTAATGAGATATTCCAAAATATCTACCCAGAATTCAATGAATTTTGAGCCAGAGAATTGGGACGACAGACAGAGGACAACAAAACCTAAATGAAAGCAACTTGGCATCCCATTGGATTGCTTGCTTAATCCCAGCTGAAAATCTCACCCCTTCTCCTACTGTCTGTTACCCAGAGCCTAAATAATGCCCACTGTTATAGGGTGCTTAGCTTCTAAGAAGTTCTGAGAAACACTTGATCTCTAAAGTACACAAGATCATAACTCCAAAACTATTTTTTAAGCAAAATCTTCAAGTTGCAACTCAAGTTTTGATAGATAATGAAACGGGCAAGGTACGTTGCTTAAGAAAAATTCATATTAGTTTTCTGACTATTATCAGGAGTTAGGCAAGTCACTATAGGATTAATTGGAAGTGAAAGTGGTTTTGTTTGTGTTTTGTTTTATCTTGTTTTTGTTTGGTGTTGTTTTTCTTGACGCTAAGCCCTATGAAGGAGTCAGCCTCTCAACCTTAGTCCTCACCCCATATTCTGATAATGGCTGTCTAATTCTCTTGCTTCTTGTTTATGTCAGTAAACAAATTTATAAACTAAATAAAGTAGTTTTCTGATACTTTCTTAAGCAGGGATGCCAGCAGACAGTGAGCAGAGCCAGCTGTCACCATCACGTGACCTCTGCTATCTCCGGTTTTATAGTGCTTGATCCCTATGCACACGCATGCACGCACATGCGCACATACTCACAACCCTATCAAGTGAGGGCACTTTAATCTGACTACAAATACAAATACATCCGTTAGAATTAGTCCTTAGTCCTGTACATAGCTCTCAATTCAAATACAATGGTAACTTCTCCCTGGCTCCAAACATAGCCTTTGGTATAGTTGCATATCCTTTGCAATTCCTGTTTTCAGAGCGGGCCTGTGTGTATAGGATGGTTTGAGTATTATCATCTCTTACTATCTTAGACCACAACATTTTTAGGTGGCAGTCCTCCAGTGGGAAGGGAGAAAGGTCCTGACCCAGGGAAGATGTTCTGCTGTTCTCTGCCCATCGCTTCATTAAGGAGAAGATACCTTTTGGATATCAAAAGGAGAGAGACAGGCAACAGTCTAGATGTGTCTCTAAGGTAAGTGTCACTTGCTCTGGGCAGCATGGTCTCCTTAAAGGAATTACCTCTGCTTTTGAATCTTTTCAGAGCTCAACTCCTGGGGCCTGAGAAGTTCCTCTTTTCTCCCTGTAGAAATGCCTGTCTGCTTTCTAAATCACACGCTCATTTTGGAATGTTCACAACTGTAACATTATACCACATTTCAGAATAAACACAATTAACTTTCTTCTAAAAATGAAAATAATTTCATCTATCTTCTGACTCAGGAAAGCTTGAGACCATTAAACAAATGTATAATTGTTGTGGGTGGCAATTTAAAATTTGTTCTTCCTTCTTACAGAAGCAAACATGTTTGCTGAAAGGGGTTTTAGAAAATAATGGGCAAGCAAAAAGAATGGAATAGAAATCAGAAGCAATTCTACTCACAGATAATTACCGTTGATATCTTTTCCCTGTTCTATTTTTTTCCTATGTGAATATATTTTTAACAACAAAAAATGAAGGCTGGGACTGTAAGTCAGTTGGGAGAGTGTTCGCTCAGTGTCTTTGAAGCTCTGGGTTTAATGCACAGGAGATCCAAAAGACAATAAGCTCTATTTGGTTTTCTATGCTATATGCTATTTTTTCTTAATATATAGTATCAACACTGCACATATTTCACGCTGACAATGCACAATTTAAAATACTTAAAATACATGACTATACCCCCCCCTGTGTGTGTGTGTGTGTGTGTGTGTGTATGTGTGTGTGTGTATACATGTGCCATATTAAAGATTGAAGCCAGGGTCTTGCAAACAGTCTTACCATTAATCCATATCCCAGCTTTCTTTCAAGAGGTCTCACCAAGTCGCCCACACTGGCCTTGAATCATTTCACAGCCCAGGCAAGGTGTGACCCTTTGGTTGTCCTGCTTCAGTTTCCAAAGTACCCAGCTTATAAACTGGATCAGAAGGTCCAGTTTACAATGGTTTTTTTTTTTTGAAATTTTTTTCTATTCTAAATGTCATGGCTAATTGAGTTAAACACAAATACTTAACGCTTTTCAGGCAACGTCCTTTCCAAATGAATTTCTACTAATTTCCACACTCACTGGGAATATCATTCTTAAGTAATCATCACTTGCTAGCCATTAAGAATGGAGGAGTAGGTGACTGACAGTTTGACAGGTGAAAAATTCTCCAGCTGGCTACAGAGCAGTGGTGCAATCTGTCTTCTCTACGTCTCCCAGCCCCCACCATAACTGCAGCTCCTTTGTCCTTTTCACTCTGCCACAATATCTCAAAATCAGCCTTCCTACCACAGCCCAGGAAACATGAGTCTCCATCTGAAAGGATTCCAACAGCCCCATCAGGACCAACTCTCCTCTTCTACCCGGTGCTCAGCCCACACAGTGTAGCCCACACAGAGTTCAACCGTTAACCACACCACATCAAAAGAGAATATGCTACTCCCAAATATGTCACCTTGGGATATTAATTATTTTGAGGTGAAGGTATTTAGAAGTAAATACAAGAAGATCATTCTTCCTTTCTTCATTGGCCTAAAAACAAGACATATTAAGGTGTCTCCTGCTCCCTTTTCTATCAGAAGGACAGTTATCAGTGAAGATCCATGATCCTTAGCAAAAGGATAGTGTCAGAAGACTAAGTAACAGGCATTAATTAGCTTATTACTCCATCTAGCTCCCGTATTTTCACCTGCCCATGACTTTCTGCTCTAGAAACTCAGTCCTTTCCCTTGCCCTCGTCATTCCTCTCCAAAGTTACTCTTTTCAAGGAAGCTTCTCAAGCTCGAATGCTAAGCTCCCTTGGAGTCAGTCACTGACTGCACGATCCTCTGTGCATGTATGTTGCTCATGTTAATACGCCTCTATTTCTACTCTTATTAGTCTATCTCCCGTCAATCAGATTTTCAGAGCCCCAGCCCATGAGCCTAAAAAGATACAGGATAAAGAAAAATGTTTTCTGTTCACAATTCTACATCATTTCATGTTTCATGTGTGTCTTCATTATCATTACCTGTTGCTGTAATAAAATACCTGACAAGAGCAATGTAAGGAAGACAATGTTTTACAATGCCAAGTACACTCTATGGTAGTCCAGGTGAAGGCAAGGTGGAGGGAACTTGAATCAATTGGTCTTGTCATATCACAGGCAAGAGCAGAGGACAGTGAATTAATAATACATACATGCTAGGGCTCAAAGGAGTTACCCACTCCTTTGCATTCTGTCCAAGGCCCTTCCCTGTTTTGTCTAGATGATGTCAAGTTGACAACCAAATCTAACCATCACAATATGGATGAACATATGCACCAGAAAGGCAATTAATTTATGCCATTTCTTTCCCGCCTCTCCTTTCCCCTTCCTTCCTGTTTCTCTTCCCTACTTTACTCTTTTTTTTCCCCTCTAAAATCTCTACAACATTGAACAGGGAAATGATAGACACTAAATAAATTCACAATGGGTTAGAAAACTCCCCTCATGCACATTGTTAAGTTAAATTTAATACAAAAGGGGGGGAATAGTAAAAGGCGGTTGGGGTTATCCAATTTCTCTAGGGATGTCAAGAACATTCTAATGAAGATAGAGTATAGAAAAAAAAAGGTCATCTGACAGAGGATTTCAGCAACCCAAACCTAACTAGCAGAATCAAATCAGTGCCACAGGAGAGGGAACAGAAGGACAGCTCAGAGGACTTGAGCTTAGGTTGTAACTGACACTAAAGCAACAGGTAACAAATGCTGGCTAGTCTGTGAGTAAGCACACAGATATTTGTTTCTGCTCCTTTCTTGTCCCATTTATAAAGCTTAAACCTGAAATTATAAGCCTGCCCACACTCTGTCCATTTTAGCTCTATTACACTGTTCAAATCAAGTGAGGCGCTAAAGGGTTGGCTCTGGGGTTAAAAGTACTTGTTGTTCTTACAGAAGACCTAGATTCAATTCCCAGCACCCATGTGGCAGCTCACAGCCATCTACAACTCCAGTCACATGGGGATCCAGTGTCATCTTCTGACTTCCAAGGGCTCTGAGCATTCACATGGTACACATACACACACGCAGGCAAAGCACTCTTATACATAAAATAATAAAATAAATACATCTATTTTTCCCCAAAAAAGCAAGTATACTGACTGCTGTGTTTAGACTTAGCACTTTCCAGCATGGTAGGTCACACGGTAGATGTTGGCTCCACAGTCAAAACCTTCAAAGCTGTGTGTCTGGCTTCACTGGAATCCTCTCAATGGACTATCCCAGGTACTATTCCTTCTTTGGTGGTCCATCAGCATCTACACACTGAAATTTATTTGTGTTCCAA